CAAGGCTCCGGCGCGGCGGCCGGGGGGCCCTCGGGCAAGAGAAGCCACCTGACCGCGCCGCCCCGGCCCGGCCTCGGGCCCCCGGCCACTCGAAGCCCCGGTTTGGGGGGGAGGGTCGTGTTCTGACAGTTTCCAGCTTGATCCCCTTGGAGCTGCCGCCAAAACCCGGAGACTGGACTTGGCGCACTGGAAACGCCAGGGGCTGCTGGCTGAGCAGGGGCAAGCGAACAGCCGACGCTGCAGGTTTTTCCAGTCCAGGGGGAGGCGTTTCCTCTCCCGCGGGGTCCCTAAAAGAGATCTGCCTAAAGCTGGGGCAAGCGGGTGGCGGCCGCCCCCGGACGAGCGACGGGGCGCAAGTGGCGCAGTGGCTGGCCCTGGAGCGTAAAATTCCGTCCTGGGCGGCACCTGCGCCCGCTGCGCGCCCAGCCCCTTCGCCCGGAGGCCGAACGTGGACCCGGTTAATTAATTTTCTTAATCCGTCTCCGTCTCTTCCTCCTCGAGTCTTCGGCCTGGGGAATGAGTAGGCGACAGGAAACGGCGGTGTTTTCCGGTCGTTAAGGTCCCAGCCCGCACGTTCGGCCTGGGGAGGGGACTGGAACCCTGGAGAGTCGGGCTCTCAGGGCCCGACCCCAGCCCCGGGACTCTCAGGTTGAATGGAAATCCTGGCACAAAGAGCGATCCTCCAGGGGACCTTGACTTTCCAGAGCGGTATCAGCTTCAGGTCATCACAGCGACGCCCCTGGGTCTGTCTGCAACCTTGAAGGATGCACATTAAGCCTATGTTGTAAACCTCGTCTGATATTAAGGTGAAGTGAAAAGGAAACGGACACAACTGTTCTGGAAAGCAAAATACTTGGGTGGAGTGTTAAAAGCCTCAAAGAAAATAATAGTTGGCAGGTCAAATGGCCACGAAGTTGGAAGTCAAACACAAAATTCAGCTGAAGTGATGTTAGAAATATGACAAGCAAAACAGTCCATGAAGATAAGAGACCCAGCATCGTTTCTTTTCTTCAAATGACAACTACTCCGAAGTTTCCTTTGGCAGATACCTGAATTTTGCTCCAGATTCCTAAGAGTTTTACTAGGGGTTCATATTTCAAAATACACGTTCCATTTGGCACTAATGTATATATTTTATGTATGAATTTATTGAAAAATATTAAATGTTACTGGCCTACTTAGATAAAGTTATTTTATAAATATTTATGCATAGCTTTCATTGCACATAGTATTTTTATAAGTACAAATAATATGTATATATATTTATTAAATACCACAGGAAAAATTCCTATTGCACACACATTCTTTTTTTTTTCCCCCCCCGGTACGCGGGCCTCTCACTGTTGTGGCCTCTCCCGTTGCGGAGCACAGGCTCCAGACACGCAGGATCAGCGGCCATGGCTCACAGGCCCGGTCGCTTCGCGGCATGTGGGATCTTCCCGGACCGGGGCACGAACCCGTGTCCCTTGCATCGGCAGGCGGACTCTCAACCACTGCGCCACCAGGGAAGCCCCGCACACACATTCTTTACACGTGTGTCTTGCGTGTAAAAAATTTTTTTTCATTTGCTGTGTCATTAGATGCTGTTAAAAACACTTTATTTCCACATGACTAAGTAACTTGTTTTACAGCTTATGCAAATATAGAGTGGAAAGTTTTTTGAGGTAGCAATTTTATTCCCAAACCCCATTTTCACTTTTCTACACCATTCCTTAACTTCTAGAGACCTTCCCTCTCTGCCCTTTCTTTATGAGACTTCACTTCTGGGCTCTAAACAGTTTATCTGGAACCTACCCCTTCAAGGGCCTAGTGGTGGAGATTTGATTTATCCTGGCTTCTTTGATGTTCCACATTATTTATTTGCACTGGACATCTTGGTACTGAACATCCCCAGTGAGGGAGAATGCCCTTATATAGTGGATTATCCTTCCAAACGAGGCATTTCCTGTACCATGATGTCTTTTGGGTTTGGTAGATTTTTATTTCAATATGGAAGAGAGAGAAAAACTTTGCTTTAGGAAGATTTTAGGAGTTCTGAGATTCTGCTCTGGGTTACAGAAAAGTTCAGCACCTTGAAAAACAGGTGGTTACCTTAGAAAACTAAGTGAGACTAAGAAAGTGAACACAGAGAAGCTATTTTAATTAGTTTCAATTAATGTACTTATATCTGTAGAGCAAGCAACTGTCAGGTCCAACGATGGGGTATTTTTCTAGTCCCTGCTGTGGGAGAAGAGCCAAGAAGTATTAGCAGAAATCTGCAATCTACTTAGGAGGCAGAGAGCAACAAGCCAGTGTATGCAAAGTGCAGAATAAAATATTCTAGGCTTTTGCCATTAAGTATGGTCCTGGGACCAGCAGCACCAAACCTCACTCCAGAGCTACTGAACTGGAATCTTCATTTTAATGAAATGTAGATGGTTCATGTGCACATTTGATGTGTGAGAAGCACTGGTCAAAAGGAGTGGATCTCAATCTTTTAAGTCACAGACTCATTTTAAAATCTCATGGGACTTATGAACACTCTTGTGAAAACACGCATGGAGGATTACACAAACTCTTTCGCATTCAATTTCAGGGTTCCCCTGAACACCAATCTATTGATGGCGAGGAAGTCCTAAGTAAAACCTCCGGTCACAGTGTCAGAAGAGCTGCTGAGTGTCATCCAGAAGAGTTAGGGAAGGATTCTTACAGGAGGCAGAGCTTAAATTAAGTTTTAAAATATGGGAGAGACTGAACAGGGAGAGGAGTCAAGAAGGGTGTTTCAAGGGGGAGAAATGCATGGGTAAATTGGTCCAGAAGAGAAAACAACAGATACCAATTTTTATATGGAGTAAGATGAAGCTTAATGAGGAGATTGTAGATTGATAGCACGGTCTCCTTGCAATTCATTATCACTGTTTGGACCTCCAAAAAATGAAACTGGACTGTGGGTTCAGTGGTTGTTCCACTTTGGGGGCAACCAGGAACCCTCTGACATATGGTTCTATGAAAGACCTCATTTCCAATGACCAGCTCTCCCTCTCACTCACTCTGCCCTGGCCACATGGCCTCCAGGCTTTTCCAGGAACTCCAGGAGTGCCTGGGTACTTCTTCCCCCGAAACCAAAAGGATCCCTTAAGGTCTTTATTCAAATGAGACTTCAGAGGAGAGGCTATTCCTCTGGAATAGCAGCACCACCCACATTCCCTTTCCCTGCTTAAAGCAGGAAGAATTTCTTCGTTACCTGACATTATATTATATTTACTTATAGATTCATTTATGGCCTGCTTCCTCTAATTTGTGGACTTTCTTTGCTGTTGTATCTTGCATACCCAAAGTGGGGGCTGGCACATAGTAGGTACTCAATAAATACATATTGAATAAGTGACCCCTTGACTACAACCAGTGATGAATGTAAAAGCCATGTTCACAAACTCCATAGCTCCAGAAATAGTAACATATTAAACATTCCTGAAATATACTATACATATGCTGAGACTGAATTTTCAACCACTTTTCTTTAGTCTAGCTGAACAAGAAATACTAAACACATGGAACATTTTAAGTCCTGAAATTCAAACATTTAAAAGTAAGGTTTACAAAAAATGTCTTTATAGTCCATGTACAATGCATAACTATTTCCCTTGTAGCAAAGCTGAAACACACTGGTGTGTACTCAGCTGGGGTTTTCCTCCAAAATGCCACATTCAGACTGAATTCTTGTGTGTATGTTCTTGATTATGCCCCCCCGCCGCCCCGCCAAGTTAGATTTAAGGAAAAATGTAAGAGAAACTGGAAGTTTAGAACATTTTGAACAAGAATGTCCTTATAGCTGGAGGATTCCCCTCCTTGCTACCCAAATAGAATTGCACCAGTCCTGGAAATAAAGTTAACCTGTGCTAATGAATTTGGCTGAACAGTTGCCAAAAGCTGAGGAATTTTCTAACCAGTGATTTCCCTGTAAATAAAGAACGTCAGGTCACATCTCGGTTAGGAGATTTCACTTTCACCTAATCAAATGCAGCAGGAAATAGTATATATGAGATGGTGTGAGCATGCAGACTACAGGCCTAGCATACAGTTCTGAGCAGGTTAGACAGTGAACCACCAAATCCTAGGAGGACTCTTGGCATTTGAATTGGCTTTTGAACTCAGGTAGCACCAATTTTACTTGTGGGTAAGGCCTTCAAATATAGCTGCATACTTGGACTTGATTTTTGACTGGAAACCAGTGACTAATAAATAACATTACCTAATATCAATATTTAAATAGCCTTCCAGGCTTAAAAACCCTTTGACATTCATCTCATTCTTCCTCATCTTAGGTTGTTTGTCCATGTTGGGTAGGTGAGGCCCTTAGGATTGATTTACAGTTTGTCTCTTTCCAGAAGGGATTTAAGGCGACTTAAAAGCCTTTTGTGTATAGTGAGGAGTCATTCCTATTATATTCTTTGTGATGTGCTCTTTCTCCAGAGAGCTGTATGTCTCCCTCCTTAGATTCTTTCAAGCCTTTGCTTAAATGTTAGCTCCCCAGAGGCTTTGAACACGTCCTATACGTCAGCCTTTCACCTCCACACATTCTGCATCTGCAGATTCAACTAACTATGGATTGAAAATATTCCCCCCACAAAGTAATTCCAGAAAATTCCAAAAACCAAAACTTGAATTTGCCACACACTGGCAACTATTTACATAGCATTTATATTGTATTAGGTATAACAAGTAATCCAGAGATGATTTAAAGTATACAGGAGGATGTATGTAGGTTATATGCAAATACTGTGCTATTTTATATAAGGAAATTGAGCATCCTGGGATTTTGTTATCTTTAGGTCATCCTGGAACCAATACCTAGGACTGACTGTATAAAATTTCACTCATGGTCCTTTTTATCTCTTTACCCCCCTTTATTCATAGCACTTATCATTCAACAGATTGTATATTTATTTGTTTATTTTCTCCTCTACCCCACATCACTAGAATGTAAGCTCTATGAGGGCAAAAACTTTGTTTTATTCACAGCTGCATCCCAACAACTTGATCAGTGCTTGGCACATAGTAGGGACTTAATGAATATTTGTCAAGTGAGTAAATGAACATGTTCTCAGAGCTTAGTACAGATACCTGGCACATGATAAATATTTTTGAATCAAAGAATGCTTTATTGAATGAACTAGAGCAAGGTGTGTGATTCATTCAAGGTCATGCAGACAGTGAAAACTTGGTTTGTATAGATTTCAATCCCTGCTAATTCTTTCTCTGATGCGTCTTCATTTGTATACCTGGTATCAAATCCAGACTGTTGCATTGTCAAAGTTTCTTTATTCATCCAATTTGGTACCTGCCAAAAAGAACATTATAAAACTATGACAGTGATTATAAGATGAGCAGGAAGTAAAATTTTGTCTGTTAATGTTCTGGGCTAGTGAGAAACAAATTGAAAAAAGAGAGGGGAAGAGAGAGGTCTGCAATGATACCCCCATTTCTCCTGCTCTCCTACATGCATTTATGCACTTACATGGAAGGACAGGTACCCATATACCTCCCCCCAACACAGGCACCAAACATACTCCTACCCTGCAGGTACATAATGCCTTCAGCATCTCTGCCTTTCTTGTGTCACCTTTCTTGTTTTACCCAGTGTCAGAAGTTCCTGTGCACAAAGGACAGACCATCTTCTGATGGGCTTATTGCAGGTCGCTTAATTTGGACTCGCACGCAGAAAACGAGGAAATGTGCGGTGGGGGACATCCAGGACAGTCCTTACATTTACTTCACAGAGAACATTTTATAGGGATGTTTGAAAACCACATCTGACAATAATCTCCTGCTAGGGTCCCAAGGTCAGTTAGGCTCAGGCTCAGGCCCCTTTGCTGCAGCTCGCTCTGCTCATGGACCAGACTCATCAGCACACCTCTCCCACCCGGCATTGTGGATGCTCTGAAGCCCACTTGTTAGCCTGTGTCCTCAATGCTGTAGAAACAATGGTTGTGGTAGTTTCCTCAAGGAGGATAACGGATAGGTAGACGTGTGCCCTTGAGAGTGCTTTGAGCTGCCTGACTGCTGACTGAACTGGAGAAGGAAGGGAGGGGAGCCATTTCACACATTCAACAGGAATTTATTGGGGGCCCACACGGTGCCAAGAAATTGGGCCAGTAATGTTGGCACTGCTCTTGGGCTGACCTATGTTTCTCTCATCTTTCCAAACCTACTTGACTCAATATGAAAGCTGTGTTCCAGAGGCCTTCATCTTAACCTTCCAGGGACATCTAGATGCTCCTGGCTGTGGTCCAGTCACTTGTCTGAGCAGAAGGACATGTTATGCAAATTAGGCACCCACACAAGAATCAGCACATGGTAACCCTGTGTTTTGTACCTAAGCCCAGAAATGCTGTGAGATTTATCAAGTGAACACTGAATGCTGAGCTTTTCAAAGGTAGCTGTCTCCTTTGTGGTCCTATATTAAAATCTCTGTTCCTAGAGTGGTCTAAGACTCCTTTTTGGTTTGTAAAGTCCTATCTTTAAATTGTTTCTAATTGTGGATCTGTCTAGAAAGCAAAGAATAAGAATTGTGCACATTCATTCCATTATGCTGTAACTCTCAGGACCTGCTGCATAAATCTGCTTGATAGTGAATGCGACCTAACATTCTTATTGTTATGCAACATATACATGTTGAACACCAGAGTATAAGGTGCTGTGACAGGTACTCTAAAGGATGCAAAGAAGAATTATGCTGCCTACACTTGGGCAGTTTATAATTTGCTGAGGTGATAAAGCAAGCATACAAGTAACTATAATCCAAGACACTATGTGATAAATGTCATCAGCTCCATGATATTTTACAAATGCCAAATAGGGACACATGTTCTGACATGTTATCTGACAATGGGACAACATGTATCTAAATTGAGACCATCTGGATTATCTAGGATGGATACTGCTATTTCACTGTACATTAGTGGTTTTAAAGGTTTTTCCTTTTTAAATGGAATTGTAAGAAGGACCTTGGTATATGTTATAGGCAAAAGTGCAGCTGTTCTGGTTGACCTGTAGTGGGGAGCCCTTCCCCTCCTAGCCCTCTACCCTTTCACTAAGGAGTTTCTTGAAACTTCCTTCTGACTCTCATGGGCTCCAAGAAACACAGTTGAAACTATGGCAAGATGATGAGTAAGTGGACAGATTGCTTCCAGTTGGAGTGATCAGGGTGGCCTGATGGAGGAGGTGGCATTTGAAGTTAGTCTTAGTATAGGGTGATCGTTGGACTTTGCACTGTACAGGGCTGAAGCATGTGGTCTAAGTGTACCTACACTAGGCACAGATCTTCACAACCTGGTAAATGGCCTCCGTAGAGGGTGTCAGGGAGGATCCAGCACTTGGTGCCTTCCCAGTCACGTGGACTTCTCCCCCCACATTGCTGAATTTCGTGGTGGTGAAGGATCTGAGGTTCATCTCCGGCCTCCTCTGACCTTCTCTTCTCTCCCTTGCCCCTCCTCCTCCTCCTCTCTGTCCCTCCATAAGGAACTTTCTGCTGTCCCTGTGTCTGCTCAAAGGCCCAGCTTCTCTGGATATTTGTCCTTTGCCAGCAGCTACACTTACAGTGGATTCTAACATTTATTTCTTTAGCATTAGACCCCAGAAGCAGACACCCAGGTCACGGCAACAATGAGTGAACACTACTATCCTCAGAGAATGCTGTGCTTTCTTCCAAGGAGGCCAGGCTTGGGAGGGAGGACCCACTCAGGAGCCATAGAACCAGTGAACTAGAACTCTGGTCCTTTAGCATAGCTAATTCTGGCTAATCAAGGTTTTACAGCACCTTGGAGTATAGTTAACCTTCATTGGGAAGTGGGCTGCCTACTCTGAGGTTCATGCTGTCTTGCAATACCCAAATATTAGGATTTTATTTTATTTTATTATTATTTTTTTTTTTGCGGTACGTGGGCCTCTCATTGTTGTGGCCTCTCCCATTGCGGAGCACAGGCTCCGGACGTGGAGGCTCAGCGGCCATGGCTCACGCACCCAGCCTCTCCGCGAAATGTGGGATCTTCCCGGACCGGGGCACGAACCCATGTCCCCTGCATCGGCAGGTGGACTCTCAACCACTGCGCCACCAGGGAGGTCCAAATATTAGGATTTTAGATGGAGGAATGAGCAAATCTCAGACACTATTCTTTTCCTTAATTGCTTTGTTATCCCTTGTCAGGCTAAAGACCTAGTTAGCTATAAAAGAAAACAGGGTTTCCACAGAAAGATGAAAGTCATACCCAGACTTACAGATGTGTGAGGGCTGTGCAGAAAATTCAATTTGATTAAAAAATATATTTGTTGAGGTTTTTTCTTTATTGTTTAAAGCAGTCTTAGGTTCACAGCAAAATCACGCAGAAAGTGCATAGAGTTTCCATATACCTTCTGCTCCCACACTCATACAGCCTCCCCCTGTATCAACATCCTGCAGCAGAGTGGTACATTTATTACAGTCAATGAACCTGAATTGACACATCTTTATCAGCAGTCCACAGTTTGTGTTAGAGTTCACTCTTGGTGTTGTACATTCTGTGGGTATGGACAAATATACAATGACCTGAATCCACTATTATAGTATCATACAGAATAGTTTTACTGCCTTAAAAATCAGCTGTACTTCACCTATTCATCCATCCCTTCCCCCTTATTCCTGGCAACAACTGATCTTTTTACTCTCTCCATAGTTTTGCCTTTTCCAGAATGTTATATAGTTGGAATTGTACAGTATGTAGCCTTTTCAGATTAGCTTCTTTCACTTAGTAATATACATTTAAGTTTTCTCCATGTCTTTTCATGGCTTGATAGCTCATGTCCTTTTAGCACTAAATAACATTCCATTGTCTGGATGTACCACAGTTTATCAATTCTCCTACTGAATATTTGTTGAGTTTTTACTCTGAATAAAGCATTAAACTATATGCAATTGGGGGATATAATAACATAAGACATAGTTTATAAAACAAGACATTGTTCTGTTGTTCAAGGAGCTTACACTCCACTAGGGAGTTTTGTTAAGGGGCGGACTGGAGCAAAGATGTTACAAGGAAGGAGAGGTTCCAACTGGTTAGATTCCAGGCTTCGTGAAAGCACATGAGGAGGGATGAGAAGAATGGGTAGGATTCCAGCGTTGTTATGGGCTGAGTCGTGTCACCTCAAAATCCATATCTTGATGTCCTAATCCCCAACACCTCAGAATGTGTCAATACTTGGAGCTGGGGTCTTTAAAGAGGTAATTAAGGCTAAATGAGGCCTTATGGGTGGACCCTAAGCCAATATGACTGGTGTACTTATCAGAAAAGGAAAAGACATCAGGGATCATGCACAGAGTAAAGGCCCTCTGATGACACGGCAGGAAAGCAGCCATCTGCAAAACAAGGAGAGAGGCCTTAGAAGAAAGCAGCCCTGCCTGCATCTTGATCTGGGACTTCCAGCCTCTAAAATGGGAGAAAACAGGTGCATGTTGTTTAAGCCACCCAGATTTTTTTATAGCAGCCCTAACAAACTAATACATACGTGAAGATGGGAAGGTGGGTAATTCGACAGTGAGAATGGCATGAGGAATGTGCAGAGGCTGAGAAACACGGCTGAGCTCAAGAACACGACAGAGCCGAGGTTGGCTGGTTGTTGGGGCCGTGTTACCAGGCTGTGGTTGGCCTTGGGGTAGCCAGCAGAGGGGAGTTCATGAAGGTGCCATGGTGGGATGGGTCCCGGGATTTCCCTTGTGAGTTCAGCCACCATGGCAGCAGTGCCTTGGTCTTAGTTGGTGTTTGTATTCTACAAATGTCTTTAAAATGCATTGGCTTGCTTCTATGTTACCCTTGGTGCCAGCACACAATGGTTTTAATAGGCTGAATCTGCAACACTAAAAAACATGTTTTGACAGAGAAACACTAGCTAAGAAGATGCTGTGGTGTTTCTTGTCACCGGGCGAGCACCAGGCCTTTCCTGGCTTTCCTTCTCAATCTCAAGGCAAACAGTTCTCCAAAATGGTGCTGCGGACATGTCTGATTGATTAAAAGAACATCGGAGCTTAATAGGACCTTAGAAGTCGCTAATTCTGCCCCCGCCCTATTTTACAGCAGAGGAAATGGAAGTCTAGAAAAAGTTAGTGACGTTCTCAAGATCATCCAGTTAGTTAATGGCAAAGGCTTCTAAGTCTAGAAAGTTGTTGTTATTATTACTTTTTGCTAAATAATTTTGATTTTATTTGGAAAAAGAGGCTCATCCCTGCAAGGATTAGGATGGGAAAGTGCTATGAATAATGTCTCTGGAGGGATCAATGGCATCAAGGTGAAAATTGTGTACTCTGGAGTC